TAGTCAAATTGCTGGATTATGTAATTCTGTTTTAGGATGGTCAATATCTTTGTCTTTTGTATTCCTCAAGACAGAATTCAAAATAAGTCTGATGGAAAAATATTTTCATTGTTAAAGAACAGGAGAAAATATGGTGTCAGTAAATTTTAGTTTATTTCTCTGTGAGGGGAGTTTGTCAATCTGGTTCAGATGGTGAAGCATCTGGGAATAAAAGCCTTTTGAGAAACACCATGAAATTCTGACATATTTAACACTGTCTTGTGAACTAGAAGCAGTTTGACTCAAAGTAAATATGGCACATGTATGCAATATACAACCACAACCACAGATATTCATTAAAAGAGTTTCTAAAGTACTCCACTGGTCCTCATTTGCTACCACTTCAATAATTCTTGTCATGTGCTGGCACTGTTAGCAGCCAGTGTGACAAAAATTCATAGGTGGAATTAAAACATTGGCAAAGTCCCATGTATTAGCCTAGCTTTCTTCTCCTGTGAATTGAAGAAAGAGCATCAGTACTGGAGCTTAGTTGAAAAATCTTCAATTGGTCTTGTGGAGAAACAATTCCTGGCATGCAAGCAACCAGGTTATGGAAGAAGAAGACCTGGTAGCTCTGATCAGAAGAAGAAAAATATCTGTAAACACTCCCTTTAGTACAATCAACATGGCAAATCTTTCTTTAAAAAGTTTTAACATTTTTGTAAGATTTCTTTATTATCGGGTATTAGATCAATCATTCCAGGGTTAGTGTTGTAGCAGAGCAGCTTAAGCTGTTGCCTAAGATGCCAGCATCCCATATGGGCACCTGTTCATGTCCCGGCTGCTCGACTTCTAATCCAGGTCCCTGCTAATGTTCTGGGAAAGCAGTGAGGATAACCCAAGTTCTTGGGCCCCTGCCACCCATGTGGGAAACCTGGAAGAAGCTCCTGGCTTCCGCCTGCTCCAGTCCTTGCCACTGAGGCCATTTAGGGAGTCCACCAACAGATGGAAGATCTCTCTCTCTCCCTCTCTGTCCCTTTCTCTCTACCTCTCTCCCTCTCTGTAATTCTGCCTTTCAAATAAATAAATATTTAAATATAGATCAATCATTCCTTCATTTAAAGACAAAACTACTATTTTAAAAGTATATTTATTGACTATTTTCATCTATTTGGAAGGCAGAGCAAGAGAGAAAGAATGAGAGAGGATCTCCTACATGCTAAGAACTACTGTTTTAAAATCTGAATCAGTAATTGTTTGTAATACTTGTGTTTTCTTAGCCATGTTTAAAATGGTAAATCCACAGAGCTCATTCAGGTTATGAGTTGCATCAAGTGAGAATCCTTAATGTGAGGATGTCCAATGATTATAGATTTTATTATTTATAAACTTAAATTAATTTACACTTTAATTAATTAATTTAAAATTCTTGTAAATGAAGACCCACTGGTGCCCACATATCCCCATTATGACTTAGAGAGATAAACCTAGTACTCAAAGAAAACAGATGATCCTCTGTACCTTTTCTCCATAGGTTGTTCATGTTCTATTACAATAAGAACAGTCCTCTTATCCAAGGTAATTCAGAAAGTTATTGATTAATCAATTCAACAACATTTATTGAGAACATAATAGGTTACATTGCTGTTCTAGGTACTAGAAATACAGCAGTGTACAAAATAAGTAATGTTGATGAATGTGTAGTATAATGTTAATTAGTGGTGTCATAAAAGGAAAGTTAACCAATGAATAAGAAGAGTTATGGTTGATACCATATAAGGTAGGGTTGTCAGTGAAGTCCTCAATGAGGAAGTGATGTTTGAGTGAAGACCTGAACAAAGTGAGGCCTTTTAAGATGTTGTGGAAGACAGTCTCTGACAGAGAACAGAATACCTTGAGCAGAGGCCTTGAGGTAGGAACATCTTTGATGTGTTAGAATAAGAGACAGAGGCCAGCATGTGATTTGATCTCAGTTAATATGAGAGCCAGTGTTGGGAAATGAGGTCCGAGACATGTCAAGAGACAGTAAAATCAAGGGCTTTGTAGTCCACAGTAAAGACTGGAGATTATTATTAAGTACAATGGGAAATCACTGGAAGAGAATGATATATACTGACTTATTTTTTTACGGATCATATTGGAAACTGTAGAAGAAGGAACTGTTGAAGGGTAAGAGTGAAAGGTGGAAGACAGAGTAGGAGGCTATTTCAGTAATCTAGGTGAGACATTATGGTGGCTGAGACTTTAACTGTGCTGTAAGTGTTGAAATGAGTACGAGTAGAATCTACAGGATTTGCTAATGAATTAGATGTGGCATGTGAGAGAGAAAGTATGAGATGACTCTAACTTTTGTGACTTTATGAAATGTGTGAACAGCGGCTTCTTTTACTGAGATAAAAAAACACCGGAGAAAGCAGTCTTGGGGATTAGGGGAAATTTAGGGTTCATCTTTTGACATTTCAATATTGTCCAATTTAATATTTTGAACATTAATAATTTAACATAGATATGAGACTGGAATTCAGGGGAAGTTTGGGATTGGTGACATTTGGGGGGTGTCAGCCTATTTATTGTATTTAAAGCATGAAATCACCTAGGAAGATAGTGCAGATAGACAGGAGTAGGCATCTAAAGATCGATGCTGGAACATTACAACATATAGAAATGTGAAATGAGAAAACAATAGAGTCCAAAGAAGCATCAAAAAAGGGATTGAAAGCCAGTCTCAGAAGCCATGTGATGATAGTATTTCATGAAGTAGAGAATGATCACCTTTCATAAATGATGCTGACAGCTCCAGAAATATGAAAATTGAGGACTGACATTGGATTTGGCAATGTGGAGGCAGCATAACGAGCCACATTTAAGTGAAATACTAATGAAAAAAATCATATTGCAGTGGATTCAAATAATAGTTGGAAGAAAAGAAGCAAAGATTGTATAGGGAACACTTTCAAAGACTGGATCTAAAATAAAGCAATAAAATGTTCAGAAAATGGTGAAACAAGTGGAATTTTTATTATTGAAGCTATTACAGCATGTTTGCATGCCAATGATAATGATAGCAGAACAGGCACTGCAAGGGAAAAGGAAGAAAGTTACCAAAGCATTTTTCTTGAGTGGTAAGAAGAATATGGGTGACAATACACAATTATCAGCCAGTTTGTAACTGGAGAGAAGGCAGTCAAATATATGGGTACAGATGTAATGAAATCAGAAACTGTCATAGTAAAGGATGTGGAAGTTAGAACTCTTTCTGATTGATCTTTCAGTGAAATTAGAAGTCAAACTATCAGCTAGGTGAGGAGTAGACACAAGATATTGGGGGTTTGAGGCAGGAGGTAATGGGATAATATATCATCTTAGAAACTTAAAGAATGATTTGACCTTAGGGAAGTACAGTCAGACTGCCAGTTAGTACTGAAGGTCTGCATGTGATTCAGGGTTGTAAATATAAAATAAGCCCATCTACATACCTTATTGACAATCACATTCAGAAACAGAGGTGCACACATGCAATAGATGGCAAGGACACTTAAACTAAGATTGAGGTTGTGCCTATGACCACAAGCTATCTTGGCATAATTCATGACATTTCTGTTGAGATCACATAGGAAACAATGAAGTTTAATGCAGTAGGTGGACAAAAAACCTAACCTTTACCAGGGATTTGGGAAATGTGGAGTGGCTAGAGATAAAGCTAAGGAAATAAGCAAAGATACCTCCAGGGAAAATAAAATACTTTCTTCATTCCTCAGATTTTTTCATAGAAATCAGTCTTTTTTACCCCTCTAATGCTCTCCCCATTTTTGTAATAGATCTTGATTACTGAGAATGAAGATGCAGGCAAATTTGAGAAAATTCACTATGCTATTATTTCCAAATCAATATTCAATAAATTATCCCTTCATTCAATAAATTATCCTTACCAACATTCAATAAATTAGCCCTACCAATAGCCACAAGATCAAGAAGTGGCATAAAGCAATCATAAATCTGCATATGAACTTAATTTTGTGAGGAGAGAAACAAATGATGGAAGGCAGTATCAACCAACAACTCATGAGGTCTTTGGCTGTTCTCCAAGGCATCTCTTCTTGGGACATACTTTGATATCATTTGAAACGGAAAGCCCAGCAAGGAAACATAGTTGTGCAAAGGAATGCTAAGAAAGTTTTGTTTCCCCTACTTTACACCATATTCAAAAATCACCTCACAATGGATCAGGGAGCTAAACCTAGGACTTGAAACCACCAAATTACTACAGGAAAATGTAGGCGAAATACTGAAAGACACTGGCATAGGCAAACACTTTTTGGATAAGATCCCAGAAGCACAGGCAATAAAGAGAAAAATACACAAATGAGATTACATCAAGCTAAGAAGCTTCTACACAGCAGAGGAAACACTAAACAAATTAAAGAGGCAATTGAAGAATGAGAGAAAATATTTGCACACTGCACATCTGATAAAGGATTAATATCCAGAATCTATAAAGCGCTCAAGAAACTCAACAACAACAAAACAAACAGTCCAATTTAGAAATGGGCTAAGGATATGAACAAGCATTTTTCAAAGAATGAATTACAAATAGCCATTGTAAAGTGATCGAGGAGAGAGAAACATGTCTCTCCTTTTTGTTTTTTCTCCTCTGGTCTGGCAGGTAAGCTATCCCCCATGGGGCTCCAAGCTGAGTTCCCTCTAGGCTCTTCCTGCAGCTTTATCGCCAGTGGCTTGGGCTGCTGCGGTCTGGTCTCACCTCACTTTCCAATGCTGTTGCATAGGCTCTCAGCTGCTGGAGTCTTGTTGAGGGTGTCCACACCCTCCATGTAGGTCCACCTTGTGCCTCTAATTTGCATAGAGTTTCCTATGTTGTTTTCTCCCCAACTCTTCACTGAGACTTCACTCTCTCAACTTTTTAAAAACTATTTTCTCTTAGACTAGAGCAGTAAGCTCCCTCCCTACTCCGCCATCTTGGTGCTCCCCTGTTTTTTTTTTTTTTTTTTTTTTTTTTTTTTTTTTTTTAAGAGCAAGATCTTTTATTTAGGTAGTGTCATTTCTTAGCTTTTCCCAAAGATGTCTTTTTCACAAACTTGTTCAGATTTTTCTCAGATGATTTTGGATTTAAGAATTTATTCACCATCAGACTGGCATTTGTCCACATTTATCGTTTCTAGTCTTGTCTTTCTGTGAAGAGTCACTTTTCCTGTTCATCATTTACCTTCATTGAGTTTCCTGTTGCTGTCTCCTTTTCAGGAGGTTCCATCTTCTGTGCAGTGTTTTTGACTTTTGAGGCTCTCTTTTTATAGGAAACGGCTTCTTTCACATTCTGTTCTGAATTCACATTCATCAGTTTTGGGAATTCCGAATTTATTATGAAACAACTACTGTCAACCAATTTGATATCACATTCCTCCTGTTCAGGGTGTGCTGCTTCCTCATCCTCCGCTACTGATTCTTCAATAGGAGATATAGATCCATCATCATCCAAATACTTGTATCTTCGACTGTCAAGATCTTCCTTTTCTAAATCATCACCAACATCCATTTGTTTCAGAGATTCTTTCAGGTGATATTCATACTTCAGTTTTTCAATGTAATTAAAAAATCCTCTTGCAACTGCTTGCTCAAAGGTTAAAATTTTCCTCCAAGGTGATGGTTGAGTTCCATTCTCTGATTCTAAAAATGAGAACCTAGGTCCTTTGTCTTTAAATTGGTTTTTATCTACATGTGATATTTTAGTGTTTTTCCGTCCTTTAGGCCTGCCTACTGGCCTTCCTGTTGCCTTGTATTTCTGTTTTCTCCTTTTACGTTTCTTTTTCTTAAATTTTGCAATAAGTGCTTTTAGTGTCAATGGTCTTGGTTCTACAGATGAATCACTTGAAGAATCTGTTGTTTCGACAATTTTAGATGAATGAATAGGTTTTCTAATGGTGTTTTTTGGCCTCCAATTAGGTGAGGAAGGAACACATTGAATTTTAAACACACTGCTACCAGATGAACTGTCATCACTTTCATTATCAATTTCCATAGTTGCATCAGATGTCATGTGGTCAAGAGGGTCCATTTCTGACTTGTCCATCACTTACTGTGTTACAAGCTTCCTCTTCCAACCGCGCGGAAGGAAAGGTCCCCTGTTTTGTTTTTAACAGTAAGGTAAGTCTGGAGGATATGATGCTAAAGCTTATTTTTTGTAGGTGTTGCCATTTTCATTTCATAATTTAAAGCATTTCACATAATATTTACTTTTTAGAGATCTAGTGACTGCAAAAGATATAAAGGTACTTTTCACGGATTGGAGATTTTTAAAGGTTCATTTATTTATATACTTGAAAGGGGCACACACTCACACACACACACACACACACACAGAGAGAGAGAGAGAGAGAGAGAGAGAGAGAGAGAGAGAGAGAAATCTTTTACTTATTGGTTCACTCTCCATATGACTGCAACATCCAGGTCTGGGTCAGGCTGAAGCCAGGAGCCAGGAACTCCATCCTGGCCTCCACATGGGTGGCAGGGGCCCAAGAACTTGGGCCATCTTTCATTGCCTTCCCAGGTCCAATTACAGGAAGATGGATCAGAAGCAGAGCAGCCAGGACGTGATCCAGCACTCCAATATATGATGCCAGCATCACAAGCAGCACCTTAATCCTCTGTGCCACAATGCTGGCTCCCACACTGGAGATTTTTTGAAGATATTGTGTCTATATCAAGACAAATACCCTCAAGTGTGTGAGTTAAGCCTGCTCTGCTGGACGTCCACATTACTTCTATCTGAATGATAAAGAGATCATTCCTCTCAATGATATTGAGCACCGCAACTATTTTTCCAAACATGATATTTTAGAAATATAAAGAATAAAACAACATAATGAATGGTTGTATACCAGCTACCTATATTAAGAAAGAAAGTACTGCAAAATAATGGAAATACTTACATGTCCTTTCTCATATTTCCTCTACTACAGAATTCAGATTTATTATTCTCATGAATGTCTTTTGATTGTAATTATATTGAACTCTTAGATTCATTTTGGGGCAACTTAAATATTTATGATCACTGAATCTTTCTCTCTATAAACATAGCATATATTTATAGTACATTTTGAGAGTTTTTCATAAAACCTTATAATAGTTTTATAATTTCCTTCATAAAGGTCACATACATCTTTTGTTAATGCTATTACAGAGTATCTTTTAAAATTACTGTTGAGGGGCTGGCACTGTGGTGTAGTAGGTTAAGCCTCTGCCTGTGGTGCTAGTATCCCATATGGGTGCTGATTCATGTCTGAGCAGGTCCTCTTCTGATCCAGCTCTCTGATATGGCCTGGGAAGGCAGTGGAAGATGGCCCAAGTGCTTGGGCCCCTGCACCCAAGTGGGAGACTCAGAGGAAGCTCCTGGCTCATGGCTTCAGATCGGCTCGGCTCTGGCAGTTGTGGCCATTTGGGGAGTATACCAGTGGATGCATGACTTCTCTCTCTCTCTCTCTCTCTCTCTCTCTCTAACTGTGCCATTCAAATAAATAAATCTTTTAAAAATTACTATTAAAAATGGCCTCTTTAAAAATTACATTTCTAACTTTGTCACTGATATATAGTAATATAATAGATTTTCTTTTCCTTTTTAAAATAATATTTGTGGTTCACTTAGTGAATTTGCTGAAACATCTTATAAATTCTAATAATTTTCCTGTGGATTGTCTTGGTTTTTCTGTATAGATATTTGCATATTCTCCAAAAGGCGGTAGTTTTACTCTTTACTTTCCAAATCTAATGCATTCTACTTTTTTTTTTCAAATTCGTATCTTACCATACTGATTATTATCACTAGTAAATTGTTGAAATGAAATAAAGATGAAGTTATCTTTTTCTTGATCCTTATTTAAAAGATAAGGCTGCTAGACAACATGATCTTACATAGAATCCTAAAGAGTTCACCAAAGACTATTAGAATTAGTAAAAGAATTTAGTAGAAGTACAGCATAGAAAATTAACAAAGAAAAATCAGTAATATTTCTATACATTAACAAAGAAATCAAGAAAATATTTCAATTACAAAAGCTACAGAAATACCCAAGAATAAATTTAACTAAGGAGATAAAAGATCTGTATTGGAAAACAATAAAACACTAGTGAAAAAAACATAAAGAAGACACAAATAAGTGGGAAGAGATCTCATATTCATAGATTGGAAGAATTAATATTGTTGAAATGCCCATACCGTCCAAAGTGACCTATAGATTCAATGCCATACCATACCGTCCAAAGTGACCTATAGATTCAATGTCACCTCATCAAAATTCCAATTACATTTTTTTCCTAGAAATACTAAAAAAGGAAAAAAAATCCTAAAGTTCTTATGGAGCTAAAGCATGAGGCATCAGATTACTTGTTTTCAAAATCATCTACAAAGCTACAGTAATCAAAACATTATGACATTGGCATAAAAATGGACACATAGTCCAATGGAATAGAATAGAGAAATCATAAATAAGTCCATGTATTTATGGTCAACTTATTTGTGATGAAGCTGACAAGAATACATAATAGGGATGCATTTATGGTCAATTTATTTTTGATAAAGCTACCAAGAATATATAATGGGAACAGGACAATGTCTTCAATAAGTGGTGTTGAGTAAACTAAGTAGGTATCTACATGGAGAAGAATGAATTTAGATCATTGTCTCACACCACACACAAAAATCAACTCAAAATGGATTAAGACTTAAACATAAGACCCAAAAGTGTAAAAACACTAGAAGAAAATGTATGGGAAATGTTCCAGGACATTGGTTCAGGGACTGAATTTTTGGATATGTCCCCAAAAGTACAGGCAACAAAAGCAAAAGCAGAGAAAAGTGATTACATGAAACTTAAAAGCTTTTATTATTATTTTTATTTATTTATTTTTGACAGGTAGAGTGGACAGTGAGAGAGAGACAGAGTGAAAGGTCTTCCTTTTCCGTTGGTTCACCCCACAATGGCTGCTGCGGCCGGCGCACCGCACTGATCCGAAGCCAGGAGCCAGGTGCTTCCTCCAGGTCTCCCATTCAGGTGCAGGGCCCAAGAACTTGGGCTATCCTCCACTGCACTCCTGGGCCACAGCAGAGAGCTGGACTGGAAGAGGAGCAACCAGGACAGACTCCGGCGCCCCGACCGGGACTAGAACCTGGTGTGCCAGTGCTGCAGGCGGAGGATTAGCCTATTGAGCCCCGGCGCTGGCTGAAACTTAAAAGCTTTTAAACAGGAAAGGAAAAAAGCAAGAATGAAGAGACAACCTAAAGAGAGAATGTTCACAAACACTACATCTGATAATGTGTTACTGTCCAAAATATATAGGAAACTCAACCTACTCAATAGTAAGAGAACAAATAACCCAACTAAAAAATCAGCAAAGGACCTAACAATGCATGTCTCTAAAGAAGACATACAAATGGCTGACAGTTACATGAAAAAATGCTCAATATCCCTAATCATCAAGGAAATAAACTTAAAAGCATCATGAATTGACACTTCACATTTGTAAGAATAGGAAGAAATAGATCAGAAATATGAAAGATATCAAGTGTTGGCAAGGACATGGAGAAAAGAGAACCATTACATATTATTAGTAGGAACATAAATTAGTACTGTCATCAGGAAAGCAGTATGAAAGTTTCTCAAAAGTTAAAAATATAACTGTCCTATGATACAATAATCCCATTGTTTGGCATATATCCAAGGGAAATACAAGCATTCTGTTAAAGAGCTATCTTCCACCACTATGTTCATCCCAGCATTACTCACAATAGTGAAGACATGGAATCAACGTAAGTGCTCATCAACAAATAAAATGGGTAAAGAAAATGTAAATATAAACAGTAGAATTATACAGGCTTTAAAAGGAAAGAAATTCTGTTGTTTGTGATATCATGAATAAAACAGGAGGATATTATGTTAAATGAAATAATCAGAGGCCTGACCATTGTAGTATAGTGGATTAAGCTGCCGCCTGCAACACAGCATCCCATATGAGCACCAGTTTCAGTCCTGACTGATCCACTTCCAATCCACCTCCTGCTACTGCGCCTGGAAAAGTAGCAGGACATGGCCCAAGTGCCTGGACCCCTGCCATCCACGTCAGAGATCTGAATAGAGTTGCAGTCTCTTGGTTTCAGCTTGGCCCAGCCCTGACTATTCCAGACAATTGAGGAGTGACCCAGAGGATGGAGATCTCAATCTCTCTTTCCCTCTCTGCCTTTCAAAGAAATAAATATTTAAAAAATACATGAAATAATCCAGAAAACAAATACCACATAACACCCCCCTCCCTTGGACAGTGGGGTGTGGATTCTAAAATTGCTGCACTCACAGAATAAAAGAACAGAATGGTGGTTTCCAGCACCTGAGATGAGGGGACAATTGGGAATATCTTGGTGAAAGGATCCAAAATTTCAGTTAGAATGACTAAGTTTGAGCAATCTATTATACAGCATGGTGACTAGAGTTAACAACAATTTATTGTATACTTGAAAATTGCTAAGAGTATATTTTAAGTATTCTCACCAAAATAAATGAGAAGAATCTGAGACAATAAAAAAACAGCAGTTGGTTGTTTAGTAAGAAAAAATCCATAAATATGAGACACTTTTTCAACATTTAAATTGAAATTGAAATATCTAAGCACACATTCCTTGACTATATGATTTTCCAGCTTGTTGTACTGCCCTACAAATTTTGGACTAGCTGATACCCACTACTACATGATATAATTTCTACAAATAAATCTGGAATGAGCCCTGACTCACTGATTCCTCATTTACAATTAATGCTATCTTCGCCTTCTCACAAGACCACCTCTTCATCATCATCACTGTTAACAACTAATTCTTTAGGCATAACTTCCCATATATCTGATGCAGTCTTTCTTTTCCAAATCATGTTATTTCTTAGGTGGCCCCCAAATCCTTTTGTATGGCCCACAAAACAATCTATCTGATGGGAGATTCACTCCTCAGTTCTAGTCTTTTACTGAAGGTATCCATACCCAAAGACCTAATATTTACTATTAGAATTCTGACTTCAAGGAACCAAGGTCACTAAGTTAGCTAACTCCATTACCATTTCAATGACTAGGGT